TATCTAACAATAACACCAACAAAAATAAAGCCGATCGATTCATCGTGTCCAGGTTCTTGTCTTGCTCAGATACTTATTTCTTCCAGTTTTTTGTTGTTTAAATCAGGCAATATGAAAGAGAATAGTTTTTCGAATTGTCAATAGAGAACAATACGATAAGGAGAGAAAAGGTTTCGAATAAGTGTAGTTGATACATTATCACGAGAACATCTATAAGAAGGAACTGATGAGTAATAGGATTGAATGCCATCTATTAGAAGTAGAATCTATAGACTATTCTTAACAATTATCAATATATTTGTATATTTGTAAATACCTTGCTCGTACAAAGTAATATTTTTAATTCTCTCAAAACTACTTTAAGTGATTTGGAGACTTATCAACGACGAAAGTATACCAATGCTATCTTTAAAAAACAACTTTTCAAAGATGATCGTCAAAGAAAAGGAAGTTTAGAATTAGACAAGATGATAATGGATTTCGACATCTATTCGATCGCTATCCTCAATCATGTCGAATATCTAAAGTAATTTTTTATGCAGCAAAACTGATAGTTTTTACTAATGAAATCAACTCGAATTTTAAATGAAGTTTTGTTTTTCTACGCACTCAAAGTTTTTTCCTCTAACGATATATATTGTTTTATGTGATGTATTCATTCTACAATAGTTGCCTTTCTTTTTTCGAAACTTACTCGCAATACTCTTTTTGACATTAGTGCTTGAACTAACAAGTGTTTGATTTGATTTTTTGAATTCAAGAGATTTTTGTCGCCATTGAACACTTTTGTCATAGTCACCAACTTGCGATGTTACTTTCGCGAGATCTTCATACAGATTACCAAGCAATGGATCATTTGTTGAAATTTGTTTCAAAAATGTATGTAAATACTTTTCAGCTAAATCGAATCTTCCCATGTTCCATACTAGTCTTCCTAATGTGTAAAGATTAATTTCTTCACTTTCAAGTTGTTCTTTCATATGTAATAGGACGTTTTTTAAATCACTATCGTTCTCATTACATAAAGTCATTTTAACAATCCATACTTGATCATTATCATTGCGTTTGATACTATTAAAACGAAAAATAGAGCCTAACATGAAAAGTATTTCCGATTCACCAGGAAATTCACTATGTCGACTGATGTCAGCAAATGGTTTGGTACCGGCCATTTTAGGATCAGCAATGATTTCAAATATGATTGGTTCAAGATCGACTGCGTCCTTAGGAATATTAAGAAATGAAAGAGCTTGTCGATAACTAGTACTGGTAGAAAAAAATGAATTCACTGAAATAAATTGATTACAACATTTTTTTAAACCTTCTAGTTCATTTTTTGACATCACTTGTCCTCGATAAACCCGAACACGACAATCAACTTGATGCTTCATTAATAAACGTTGAATATCATCGATAAATTTACGAAATAAAAATATCATATGTATATTTTCAGTGCGTAGTACTGCGTTAAGAGTCTTGTAAAAAAACATTTGTCGTGAGTACCACCATAAGGCTTTGCCAGGCGAATAATCATTTTTAAATTCACGAATGTTGCTCAATTCAAAACGATTGCCTTCATATATATCTTTGCAATACTTAATAAGCTCATTAATATCTTCTGACGTAGATTTTAATCGCAGAAGACAGTCGATAAGAACCTGATAATAAACAAATTTACCGTTAACACTACCAGTTGATTTCCCTGCATCATTACTGTTATTAAAAACATTAATGGACAACGGTTCTTCTACTAATTTCTGAATTTTATGATCTGCTTGAATTCGAGAAATGAGTTCATCCAGTACTGTGACAACAGCTTTTACCTATTTGAAAAATAAATCATAGATAAAATTAAACTATGGTGTGTAATTTTACTTTTCCATATTTGTCAGCCCATTCTTTGTTACTTGTCTTATCGAAACAATAAACATAGATTGATATAACTTGTCGATGTTTATGAATACGAGGGACTATTTCTCGTCCCAATGTACCACTCACAATCATGACGACTCGCTCATGTTGTGATCGTTCTTCAATATACTTTTGACATTCCTTGGCATCTTGAAATTTCTTGAGACGATTGATAATGGAACGTAAATCTTGTTCAGTGTTTCGATTATCTTCAGCATTGGTATTGGCATCAAGCCAGATTAGACAAAAAATTTCGAAATCCTTATCGTCATCTGTTGCATGAAAGTTATGTGTTACTACCATACCCGTAGCCATGTTGATAGAAAACACTCAATTAGATTATCGTTGTTTAGGTTTGATTGTAGAATGTACGAGTGTTTTTTTTAATCTAAAACGCATGTTAGGAAGTAGTGATGTATTGAGAAGGAGAATGAAAGATTGATCCCCTCTATGAAAATAAAAATAATAAAAATTTCTACAATTTTTTTTCTTTGGATTGTAAAAATAATACATGTATTGATAATGGCACAGTTTTATGTTACATTTGCATAATTCAATTAATATAACGTGTTGGTATAGGCAAACATTGTTTGTTATAAGAGTATGGGTGTGTGTGTGTATAGAGCAGTCATCCTACACTCTAAAAAAACAGATATCCTCGAAAATCTTTAGAGGATTTTCGAGTTTGTTACTACAGGAAATCCTTAAAGGGTTTCCGAAGAAGGATTTCCGAGATCTCGGAAACCCATAATATCCATCATAGCAAAACCGCAGATACTCATTCGGAAACTCAAAAAAAAAAGGTTTCCGAATGCAGAAAAAGCTCTACCGAAGTAGACTAGACAGGATGCTGCCAGCAGCAACAAGCATTCACAGCTGTCGCAGACATTCAATGAGGCTCTAATGTGAACCTATTCGCACCCAGAAATAAATAGAACAACTGTCAAAGGTAGTCAACACACAGAGCTCAGAAAAATATTCACTATGCAGACGTCCTCCATCGCACCATTACCAAACCATCAGAAAGTTAAATATTACGACCTTCTCTACCTAAAAACGAAGAAGCAAACCAATTTTTCGTCGGAAAATCATCAGAATTCACCAGCTTTCTTCATATTCAAACCAATCAAAAGTAGAAAGCACCCATTCTGATGGAAAACGCAATTCAACAAAAATAGTTATTGAACAAATTTCATAGCTCACCAAATGTTTTCCTACAATTTATATCTAAAAATAAAAAATTATATTTTCATTTAATAATTTTACTCAAACTCACTGAATCTGTTGATATACAACGAATCTACAAATGAAAATGAAATTGTTTTCTTATTTCATGAATTAATTCAAACTCACCGCATTCATCGATCTCACACGAATCTAAAGATAAAAATAAAATTGTATTTTTATTTAATGAATTCATTCATGCTCACCTGGCCTATCAATATCGCATGAATCTAAAAATAAAAATTGAATTTCATCTTTATTTAGTAATTGAAAGAAACTCACCAAACATGTCGAAATGTAGAATGAATCTAAAAATAAAAATGAAGTTTTATTTTAATTTAATAATTGAAATAAATCCGCCGAATACATTGATAAATACACATCGAATCTCAAACCAAAAACTAAAGATTGTATTTTATTCAATAAATTGAATTGACTCATATTTTTTTGATATTCAAAATAAATTGATAAATTAAAATGAAATTATATTTTAATTTCATCTTTGAAATAAACTCACCAGATATATGGTTACATAAAACGAATCCAAATAGTAAAAGTGGAAATATATTTTAATTCAATGAGTTGATTAAAACTCATCGAATTCCAGAGTCATATTTTGATGAACGAAGAAAAATTGGGATAGTGTTGTATTCATGAAATTAAATAACGCCTCGAATACATAGTGAAAATGTGGAATTGATAAGTATAAATTGTAAGTTAGAAAATATTTTATGATATAATTTACAACAACTCACCTACCTGTTGAGTGGGTGTGGGTGTGGATGAAAGATTTTCACGTCAGCCAACGCACACCCGCACCCACCTATGCCACCCCACAGCCACATCTACTGACACCCACACGTACTCTCTTCATACCTGGTTTTATTCATGGCATTTGTTTTGAAGCACCACTGGCAAGTTGTTTCACTGATGTCTTCTTTGTTGATATCGATGAAAATAATATACTTAGTTCATCAACAATTGGAAGAGGTTTTTATTCATTTGTTTTTGAAAACGGTGGCTTACTAAGCGCAATAGGTGGTGTAATTTCTCTCAGTTGAATAATGTGAAGTTCAGGTGCTGGATTTAACTGACCCATGACTTCGAAATTTGAACCTGGCATAAGAATAATTTCTTTTTGAGTATTCTTGAAATGTGAATGTGCTGCAGTAGATTTTTAATTAATACATTCAATTGAAGAGAGAGTACGTTTTCCATGCTTACCCAAAAATTAATCTGATTCAAGTACTTCAATGTCAACAGTACGCAAACTTTCTCCCCACCAATAAAATTTTATGCCGTTGTTGTATTTTGAACGTAAATCAACACCTCGAACACCAAGCCATACTTTTCCACTTCGTGAAAGTAATTTATGCAAAGCAGTGAGAAATAATTTAAGATATGAGAACCATGGTTTCAATTCTTCAGGATTCTCAGCACCTAATGATTTATTAATTAACAAGTACAGACTTGGTCCATCACTAAATTGCATGTACAGTGGTGTGCAAAATTATAGGTTCATCTCCTTCCAAAATCTTGTTTAATCATTCTTGACCACTCTATGCTACATTTGAGAAAATATTCTGTAGGATAATATGCATTTGAGCATGCTCTATCAAAATATGAAATTAGATTTCCTCGATCTAACTTTTGAAGTGAGAAAACTTAATGATTATGGAAATACTTTGATTTTTCTCTGTTCAAACTTATACATTCAGTTTCGTATTTTACTCATTACTGTATTACAATGCCATTTTTCCGTATCAAAAGCTTCAACGGCAGTTAGAGAAGCTGGATCTGAGTATTTCTGTAAAAAACGTTCGAAAAGTGATCTACTTCTGGAGTGGTAGACGGACTATACTGTTCAAGCAAAAATAGCTGAAAATTGGCATTCAAGTCCAATGTTTTTGTGATACAAATAGTAAGATAAATTATTTTGAGTTTTGAACATGTATTTTCAATAGAAGACCAGTGGTGGCATCAAATAAAACGATCATGAGCTTCGCCAATAGCCTTCATAGAAAAATTAGTATTGGTGATAAAGAAAATGCAGTTGTTTTAGTCGATTTCTATGCAATTTTAGTGCAAAAACATGATTTACTTCTTGCACCAATACTGATTTTTCTATGAAGGCGATTGGCGAAGCTCATGATCGTTTTATTTGATGCCACCACTGGTCTTCTATTGAAAATACATGTTCAAATCTCAAAATAATTTGTCTTACTATTTGTATCACAAAAACATTGGACTTGAATGTCAATTTTTAGCTATTTTTGCTTGAACAGTATAGTCTATCTACCACTCCAGAAGTAGATCACTTTTCGAACGTTTTTTACAGAAATACTCAGATCCAGCTTCTCTAACTGCTGTTGAAGCTTTTGATGGGGAAAAATGACAGTGTAATACAGGAATGGCTAAAATACGAAACTGAACCTATAAGTTTGAACAGAGAAAAATCAAATTTTTTCCATAATCATTAACTTTTCCCAACTCAAAATTTAGATCGAGGTAATCTAATTTCATATTTTGATAGAGCATGCTCAAATGCATATCGGCCTACAGAATATTTTCTCAAATGTAGCATGGAGTGGTCAAGACTGATTAAACAAGATTTTGGAAGGGGGTGAACCTATAATTTTGCACTCTACTGTATCTAGATGTATAGAAACTGATTGTTGTTGATGTAACCCATCAGCCGGGTTTTCACAATTATGCAATAATACAAAGACATTGTCTTCAATATCATTAAAAAGTTCGACAACCGGTCCAATGGCTTTAGGAAGTGAAACAAGTGGTTTATCTTGCTAGCCTTTTATTGATGATAAAGGTGATCTACCGGTTCATCGTAAAGATCAGTGAAGCGAGACTCGTCACCAGATTGTAATGCTTTGGCCATGTGATATATTCCAATCCACAACAAAGAAAAACTAAATGTCAAAAATAAAAAAAAAATAATTGAGTCGCTGCTGTGTTTATTTTCATCTTAAAGCTAAACGAAATACAATGAGAAATAAATAACGAAAAGGAGAAAAATATTTTTCTTGAGGGCGTGGGTGAGAGCACAGACAAAAGCTACACTCAACTGTAGCCACACCCACATCCACAACTACACCCACCCACAGCCACATCCACTCATACCCACACCCCACCCTTAGCATTTCTGTTGCTTAAAAACGCTCACTTATTGAATATTTCGCAAAGAGGAGATCGCAGAATTCAATTTGTCTTTAAGACCCATGCTTATTTTTCATGCTCTATCGTTGTACTTCAACATGGATAGACTAAGTCAGTTCTTTAGAGCTTCGCAGAAAGGTGATGATTTTCGATGCTCATAGCGTTCACTCTTTGAAAATCTTTTGCAGAACACCTCTCATGTTGTAATTTATCTTTCGGACCGATGCTCGTTTTTTGTTCTTCAATTTTCTACCCAAACAAGTCGTACCCATTTTTTGTTTAGGATGGTACGATCGTAGTGACGCTCATCGCATTGGAGCTATGAGTATGACGAAATGTCCGGCACAACCTGCAATATCGCGCAAATCTCGGAACCTGGCCATAATAGCCCTGTGCTTTGCTGAGAAACAACGATATGAGGCATGAAGGATAACGCTCTTTCAGTGCTCATTTGAGCGTGAAAGCATGGTCGATGATAGATCATGTGAGCTGCATAGTTAACTGTCAGTTAGTGATCAGTTCAGCGCAAACGAATGCTGCTCAGAAGTGCGCTTATGAGTGGGATTCCCTTGCAGTCGAATGATTCCTAGTTGGTAGGTCACTTTGTCGCTCATTTTTTGCGCTTCTCTGAGCAAAATCAGGAACATTCTTTCGCGCTCATATGAGTGCCCCACTGAGCTTCCTAATACTGATCAATTTAGCTCAAAAGAATAGCGCTCTTGAGTGCTCATATAAGCGTCAGATATTTCTTCCTTTTATACTCTTATCGTTGCCTTTTTGGACTGATTCCAAGGTTTTTCCTATCGGTTCCGTTGTTGTTCCGGTAAGGTTCCTGCATGATCTATAGGCTTTCTGGGTTGGAATATTATTTCCATGCTCCTATATTTTTTCCGGAAGATTTCTGCGAAAAATCGAGCAGGACCTGCAAGGTAGACGCCAGAAATACAAAGAAAACGTCCAGTTCCTGTTGGAATCATCAGCCTGGGTTGTCGTGAAATTTTACATCGATTCCACTTTTTGAAGCAGTCGAAAAGGTTTATCAATTCTGTGGAATGTTGTTCTGACAAAACGTTTCGTTAGAGTTTGAATTCAAGAAAACAACCAATCTCTAAATGCCATTTGAAAGATTCTTAACCTTGAGTATACCGTCCAATCAATATTTTCGATTATTGGATAAATCATCTCTCACACCTTTGTTTTTGACAGCCCTCTCAGAGGGTAATAGAACCAAAATTCTCTGACAAATCTATGTCTACTTGCCTTCATTATTGACTACTGTTATTCCTTCACTTCATAGGCTCAGCTGCACATCATTGAAACAAATGTAGCGTCGCCGAAAGCACAAATAATATAATGGTACTTACCATCCAATAATGTACAAGAACGGCAGAAGGCGAAAAAGAATGTGTGAATACACTAGTCGTGAATCTAAGTGAAAACAAAAATTACTGAATAAAAATACGACAAGCGCACTTTTTTATACATTTTTTATTGCAGTGATCAGTGATGCGTGGATCCTCTTGCTTTCACTTCAACGAAAAAAAAGTAATCAGTGAGAGAGACGGACCAATAGACAACATTTTTTCTCATCAAGCACGTAACGGACATTATCTGTAACTAATTATGACAAGAAAAAAAGAAAGATACATTAGCTAGCTCTCTCACGTTAACGAAACGTTTGCAGGTAATAACGTACAAGAGTCTGTATCCAGGCAATTTTCGTCTTTCGTCGCGCAAGCAATCATCATTTGTTGATATTTTCTAAAGCATGAAGACAAGACAAACAATTCGCGCGGGTGTGGGTGTGTGGATGTGGGGTGTGGGGTGTGGGTGTGGTTGGGTGTGGGGTGTGGGTGTGGGTGTGGGTGTGGGTGTAAGTGTGGGTGTGGGTGTCTAGTCTTCATGGGCAACAACACCCTCTGACCCACATCCCACACCCACACCCACGCCCACACCCACACCCACACCCACACCGACCCCACACCCACACCCTATGATGCAATACATAACAATTCATTTTGGACGTTTTCATGTTAGGACATAATTACACAGTGCAGTAAAAACGAAGATATGATGCTTACCTAATTTTCGAAAGAACTATTAGAATTTCATTTAATGGCTTGTTAGATGAGAAACGAATTTTGTGACAATACAGTGAATGAAAAAAGCTCTTATTAATACTTCGATTTTACTATGTGACAAAGGAAATTTAACAAAACAAAAAGTAAGCCGTGTTTTTCAACGTAAAATGTCTGCATAATGTACCATTAGTTTTCATTTCTTTGTCCAAACAGCATACCGAATCTCTAAAATTTTCATCAATGTCTAATAAAACTATATCAAATCTTCTTACATTACCAGTAGAACTCATCTACTGAGTTCTTGACTATCTTGATGATTTTAATCTTGTATGCTTGACTCGAAATGTTTGTATGCGTATCAATGCAATTACCGATTGTCACTATAGATATCAGGTAAAAACCTAGTATGCATGTAATTTTGATTTTCATAATCTTCAAGATATTCATCTATATATTGTCTTACTAGAGTTCTTTTTTTATTTAGTTAATCATTGATAACAGTGACAACAATTGTCGTAAACTAAAAAACGACTTCTACGTAACGGCAAAAATGAGAATATGCTCGTTGTATAAGAATTCGCACAATATATGCAACCTTATTTGCATTTAACAGTATCTCGAAAGCCAGTGCGTAAACAGCACTTTCTGTCGATGAGAAGTTTTTGTTTTTCTACATTAAATATTCAAAAAGAAGTTGATATATGCTAGACAAAATTCGATGCTTTCTGATATTTTTCAGAGTTTCTTTTCCATAAGCAAAGAATTCTAATGTTTCTGTAATGAATTAAGCAATTTTCTGAATAAAGCAAAATCCGTTGATCGTAGGTTCTATTTTAATCTTCCATTGAGAACTTTTCTCATCATTTTACATCTCTTTCCGTTGTATATAGACACTCACTATACTAGAACTTAATAATCATCAAATCGGTGCTCATAGAGCACAATATCTAGCCGATGTTCTTAAACATAACCAAGTAATATTCACAGTTTCTTCTAATACTATCATTCATTTCCTATCTCAAACAGACGATCACCACACTAACCTTTAACTACAATAAACTCGATTCTCAAGCGACACAATGTCTTGCGAGTGCTCTGCAACACAATCAAGTAATATTCCCATTTTCTTAATTTATCATGCACAGCCTATTCTCAACAGATAGTTACCACATTGAACCTTGAATTCAATCAAATTGGTGACCAAGGAGCACACCATCTTGCTCGTGTTCTCCAACAA